CTTCTTCACATAAGTCGGAGATACTTTACCAAACTAACCCCCTGTACTCCTTCACTGATTGTCGCTCGTTGTTCTGGTACTTCCAAAACAGCATTTGCTTGCGTCACATCGATTCGTATAGAATCCACCGGACGAAGAATGGGTTTCTGAAATGAACCATGCAAATCGTCAGATTCGAAATAGTCAAGTACCACAATTACGGCTCACCTTGAAATCTGCCATCATCATTTTCGTCCTCTTGCTTAGCTCTTCCAGGTTAGCTGCTTCTTTGTCTGCTTTCGCTCCAGCATCAACATCCGATGAATCCACATCATCATCCGTGCTTTCCACCATCGAGTCGTCAGTCGACGCCAGTCGAGCCAGTGATTTTGAAGGTGACTTATCCCTAAAGCTCAAAGGATTGAGCGTGGAGCGGTATTGGTCAATCCTTGGATGCGCCACGCATTTTACTTCCAACCCGATTCGTAGTAGCACTCGGCTGCGGTGCGGCCTCTACAATGAATTACAGAGGACTTATCTCTAGGACTTGTGGAACCTAATCCGAGCTGTTCGCCGTCATAAACCGATAGGGCAGATGCTCTTGTAAGGTTGAATCTTTCTGTGTATTTCAATGACAAGTTGATTAACGTCTTCAGTGCGTTTTTTTTCTACCACAAGAAAAGGAAAAGCAACGAGCTACCGAACTGCTTATGTGGGTCAGGAGGTTCGAAATGCGGTACCATTGCACAGGCGGCATAAGCGCGGCATGAGCGCCAGAGCCGAAGAAGGGTCGTAATGTGGAAAGGAAATTTGCCAAACGCTGGAATTTACGGACATCGCGGATTTTTTCCTTTTTTAATCGTGATATGAACCATCCAACACTTTCCCCTTAACAGGAATTGTGGCTATAACGACTGCCATCTTAGGGATGGGATCGTTGTAGCCGGAACCCTTGTCACATGGCTCATCCGGAGCTCACCTGGTGTATGTTTTAAGTATGTCGATCTCAAGATTCGTAAAAAAAGAGTGGGAATGTCGATCTCAAGATTCGTAAAAAAAAGGAGTGGAAGGATGTTGGCCAAAGAATCACAAAACGCGCTGGATGGAGTCAATTGAATCGAATTTGCGAATAACCCTTTTCCGCCGAATCTTCGAATCTCCTGACCGTTACGTACACATTCCTTTTCGCGGATTCTCTCAAAACAACTGTTTGAGTGCAGCTTCACGCGGGTTTACTAATGATAGAAAAAATATGTTACTAGCAGGCTGTATTGTTAATATAGGCCTAATTTGAAAATGTGGAGATATGAATCCGGACAATGCTCAGTCGGAACAGGAGCTCATTTCGAAGTGCAGGCGCAGAACATATTTGTATATGTAGCCCAAAGTCATCGAAAAACGTGCTCGGACGTACCGTGTGCCAGCGTCATCAGAATCCGACGGCATTGGTTCGTCGGCTTGATTCGAAGCTCTAAAAATTCCCGTTTCAAAAGGAGTTCAGAACTGCGGAAACATCGGCATCAGCGGTTACAATGCCTTTACATGTCGACCCATGAGTCCACTATAACTCGAAAAAGTTGAGATAAACTGCAACTCACTGAGCCTTCGCCTGCACAGGTGGTGGGGGAGGCGCCGGAGCCGGTTCATCATCGACAGTCGATCCTAGGAAAATCGGTTGGATGCGGCGTTTCCCATCAGATGTGCGAACCTTGATTTGAAATAGTAGTTGGGGAAAGTATAAATTCGAACACTTCATCCGAGCAGGCGCAAGCAGCTAATTTAAGGGCACTTCACATGATCAAATATGTTACTATTCGTTCGAAAGTAAAAGTGATGGTGAGGGAATAGACCTTCTTATCAGATTAATAGATAGCTAGTAAACCAGGCCTGTCCTTGTTTTCCACGTTTCCTTC